TGTGATGTTGTGTTTGGGTAGGTGGCTGTTTTAGGTAAACGTAGTTTCTTTTGACCTTTTATAGATAAGGTTGTTTCCATATGCATATTTCCAATAGTCTTGAGAGGTACAGGTCAGACAATTTATAGGAATTTTGGAAATAAACCTGAAATTCTTATTCCATATAAACTCCCGCCTGGCTAATGAAGAATTGATTTCCTACTGTATCATATGGACAAGTAACAACCAAATGTTTCTCCCATGGAGTCACTAGGAGCTTTGCCTTATACTATAATGAGAATTTTGTAAGAGAAGAGTAGAGGAATCAATTCACTCCTGTCTTGAAGAATAGACAGTGCTGTAACACCCTTTAAATTAATGTGGGTGTAATTCTTTAAATAATGAGACGAAAAGAGTTCAAAGTGGTGTTAAATCAACTGTGTGGAAGTGACAGTGCATCATTCACTGGGCACATTTCACCAGCAGAGGTTACAGTTTTTGCAGTGAACTGCATTAGTCCAGAGACGGAGTGACCTCCTGGAACCACGCCATGTTTCCAGCACCTGTCAAATGGTTCTTTCTGTAGGGCATGAAGACAATGGAAACACATTAAAACACCCGCATCTGCCAACGTGGGCAGGTTCAGAAAACAGAAACTGGCCCCTGCTGTCCATGCAGTTGATCGATAGCGGGGATTGATTCCATTCTGTGTGCTCAGTCAGCCTGCCACAGAGAGTCTAACAAGCACAGCGCAGGGGGTGGCACACGACTGCTCTGGTAGCTGGGGTGGTGAAGCCACAAAGCACAGACAGAGCAGCTTCTCTAGACAGTATTCCTTCCATTTTTGATTCTTTTGTCCTATCAACCAGCTTTTGTAGGGTGGAGAAGAAAGGTATTTGAATGGAAATAGTAAACAACGTTATTTTTCATTATACCTTTCTGTGTACTTTGTAACAGGGTTTATCAAAATCAATGTATAAAAATTCACATGCATGAAAATCCATAATGCATAATCCATTTAACGGAATCTGCAACATATGCGTGCGTGAACTTAAATAGATTATGTGCCTGAATTAATGTGAATATATAGCATGTGTTTTTCTTTGCCTGCTATCCAGTAGATTATTATTAGCAATAACAGATTCTAAAACTAGCTTTGCACATTTGATGTTTGCTACTGGGGGAGGGGAAGGAGGGGAGAGTGTAATAGTGGCTGAGCGAAGGCAGCCCGAGGCATTTTTCTGCCTACACAAGGCACAGACAGACAGAATGGATTGGGGACGCTGTTCCAACAGTATCCTTTACTCTTTTGGAAATGTGCAGCATTGGCTTTCTCCTTTTTTTCTCAGTATCTACTATGATGTTGCCAGGGAGACAGAGCCCTTGACTTGCACCCGGCTGCCAAGGCCATCACCCTTTATAACAGTACTACCCCCAAAACCTTGTACCCACCAGAATATTTAAGTCTGTTCTGCCACAGGCCCCTGCATGAAATGTTTAGGTGGTATAGAATAAAAATCTCCCTGTGCTGTCTCTGCAGTTAATTCAGAGGAAGCCAAAACTTCATTACAAAATGTGTATTCTGAAAGACCTGGCTTTATAATTCTATAAACCATTATATTTATATTTGTATGCTTTTTTAAAAAATATGATAGTGTAAAGAGGCCCAAAATAGCCTTTTCATAATGTGGTTGTCCATGAAATACGTTCTGCATGTATTAAAATCCACAACAATATTTGTGAATATCCTTCAATTTTCTTGTAACTGCCATAAAACAGTACGGTAAATTGGTCTTGAAAAGATACACTAAATGGGCATCTGTTCATAAGTAAGTTATGGTAAAATATCTGTTGCCTTCTCGAGTAATTGGATCTCTAACTGACAATTTTAAAAGTAGTCAGGTTTTCAAGAGACCACACAGACTATAGCTATTTTAAAGGTCAAAATGAGTTTAGATTTTAATTTTTCTTATTTAATGTATTAAAAATCTGACAGTACTCAGATTCACTGGTTTTTATTCATAAATAATTGTAATACTAAGGTGTTTAAGCCTGTTACTGAACGGATTGGTAAAAGACGACTATTTTAATTAAATTCTAAAAGGACATTCTGAATATACCCTTTGAGCACAACCCTGCAGTCATTGCTGAGAAAACTCTAACTGACTTGAAAGACTCAAATTTGGAATATAACAGACAGAAAAAATAAAAATAGGTCACTAGGATATAATTGTAAATGCTCTGCACGTATTTTTTCCATTATCTTTGCTAATAAGCAGTGAAGCATTGTTTCTTAAATAGGTATGAATGTGCCTGATGTCTAAGTAACATTTTGATGAATTTCAATCGTATTGTTGATATTTAGTAATGCAACCTTTTTCATGCAGTTGTTTACAGATAGGCAGAGTAAATAATGTGACTTACAAGAAAAATGTGAAAGAGATCGATCACTCGGGCTCTACACCTACAGAACTTCTCAATCTAATTTTAAATATTTCAGAAAAGGGTAGGAAAGTAAAAGATCAGTGTTACATTTCTAAGCTAAGCATTATTAGTAGTACATAGGAATCTTTTTCCGATTCCTGACTCTTTTTCGTTAGTAGCAGCAATGTTAATACATAGTATTTTGCTACCAATTCAAATGCTCAAAGTATAACAATAACATATTTTTTTAATAAATTTTCTTTCCTATTATTTTCTCTTTTATAACAAAGAACCGTAAAGACAGCAAATACTCTCTCTTGTTTAGTGCAAGAGGGAAAGTAAACACTAATTATAGCAAATAACTATTAGTGTCAAAGGATTCCAAGACATTACCAATATACACTTAAGCATTTCAGAGCAGACAGTGACCTTACCTTCATTGCCAAGGAGAAAGCATGTCAGCAAGTTAGGACAGACCTCCTCCAAAATGGAACAAAAAGCAGAGAAAGCACTTGGGCCTTTTAAAGAGAGTTTATCTAAAAAATATTCAGTTCTCTTCTTGTAGCTCTCCTGGGACCAAATGTCTTTGTATTCCTCCAAGGAAAAGACTCTCTTGTAAACCAAATATGACAGCACTTTGTTCACATCCAGCTCTTCCAGTATTTTCTCTCTCTGATTGCTCGGGATTTCAGAAAGCCACTTATTCCTGTTTTCATTTTCTCTTTTGGTAGATTTTGCACAGTTATAAAACCAAGATTTGGCTGTTCTTCCAAACATTTTGATATTTAAATAGAAAATAGAAAATTCTACTCCTGCATTTATTGTGCAGTATTCAGTATGCAAAGTAAACATAATGTGGATGGGTAGAATGCAAATACATACTGCTGTCTGTAATTATTGTAATTCTAATGGAATAAAGAAGGCCTACATACAAATTATAAAGAAAACTAGCTCAATGCCTGCAGCCTCCTAAGAGGATTACATTACACTAATTAGCCCTTTACAACTGTTAACAGCTTCTGAACCGTAATGATGAGACTGAGAATTGCTTAGTTACTGTTACTTTTTAATTCTGTAACTGATCTTCAAAGATATCCCTTTGCAAAAAATAATATGTTCAAGAAGACAGCTGATGGAACTGAAATAATCTGTACAAGCTGGTACAGGACATAAAATAAAGTGTACACTTTTCTGTACACTTTGATTTTGTATTCCTCAGAGGCCATACCCAAACCACAGCATTAATGCCCTCCACTTCTTACTCTTTCATAAAATATTAGCTTTACAAAGCAATGCAATTATACATTTAGAAAGCATATTTCTGTAAATATTTTGTGATCCTGTATGCAAAAGGTAAAAAAAAAAAAAAAAAAAGGTTACAGAATAAGACCCTTTTTTGTGAAGGTAAATATGTCACTGTTAACAATAATGACATTTCTGCATGTTTAGATGTTTAAGTTGTGTCCAAGCAAACTAAACCACCGTAGCGCGTCCATGTGGTGCCCCAGGTTTAGCAGCAGAGATTACTGCAATCCCAGTGGAGGTGTCCTGCCACTCGGAATCACTCATTGAGGATCACACATTACGTAACCTCCCTTACGCAAATGCTGCTTAATACATCGACTTTTGGGTCTTGTTTTCATACTTTCTGTCAACATAAATTCCCTGTATAGAAAAGCTATGAGTACTTCCTGCCTCCTCCTCCTCCTATTTCTTAGTTTGTTTTTTCTACTTCCATTACTTCCAAGTGATAATGCATCCATGGCCTCACTCGTGTGTTCCTAGCTGCAGTTTTCCCTATTGTGCAGTACACAAAAATACTTTGCCACGCTTTTAGGAAAGCAACTTTTAGAGTTATTTCTGGTCCTTATGGTCTTGAGATGTAACCACTGTATCCTCCTGTCAGGCTGCGTCTGTTTCTGAAATTTCAAGTATTCATCAGTCAGCATCAAAGTTGACCACTGGCCCCATAATTTTATTTTGTATATCAGTAGCCAAACAATTAACTAGCCAGGCTTCAAGGAACTGTTTGGAAGCATTGCCTGTCACCTTGTGGTTGGTTGTAGATACAACAAGCCTCATTATGTGACGCATTATCTGGAGTAAGGATGAGTGGAATTATGTGTTATTTTAAGCCATATTAATGGTCCCAGTTTAGAATGTTATAGCTTATTGACCGTAGCAGTGAGATTCTTGTGCTTCTTCTGTAACCATCCTGAATCTGCTCAGGTGGAGGTACCTGTGCATTGCATCACACCCCACAGGAAAGGTGACCCACTCGGGAGAAGCTGGGTGGTGAAGGGCACCTCCTGCTCTGCAATTAGTCAGGCAGGGCAGCTAAACACAGGTGATAGGCAGCAGGCAGAGAAGGCAGCCAACCTATCTGAAAGGCCTGGCACATCTTCTAGGCAACCTTTCCAAGTAAGGGCTCCTTTATAAGCCTAATTCTTAAGATTTTGCTTTGATTTTTGAACCCTGCAGGAGTAGTTAAAATACCAACCCATTCTTTCCATATTGTCAGTGAAACCTCATGGGTTTTTGCTCCAAGCTGTTTCTCTCTCAGAAGTTCTACTAATATTAATCATGCAATTTCTCAGCAGGTAGAAGATCCTAATGAAACCAGGCGCTCCACATGGTAGACAGCATCTTGTGAGTCAGCCTTCTCCACCACTGTAACTTCGGACAGTAAGTTTTACCATTACTTCAGTAAATGCTGGAGCAAGCCCAAAGTTACAGGTTTTTGGATTCATAAGACAGTGCCCAAAGATGAGATACAGAGGATGTAACCTGAATATATTTCTCAGAGTTTAACCTCAAGACTAAATCGGTGTTTATTTTATTGTACTGGTAACAGTGATTGTCATCAGTACCCTAAATGGAGTAGTGAATTCTGTACAGTAGTGAATTTAGAAGTTAACAAAGCAGGTAACCTGTCAAGATTAATAATTAAATTAATTTTAAAGGAAGCTATAGATTATGTCATATTTTTACACATGCACATGGAAGTTCTGCCTATGACAGTCCACCCTTGTAGAGTGACCTTACTATCAATAAACGATAGGCATAGATGTTGGCAAGTTGCATCTCTTCAGAAAAGTAAGGAAGAATTGGTGCAAATAAAAAATATACATAGGTATATACATATATTTAAGGTATATCAATATACCTTAAATAAGAAAACTAGTTTAAAAAAAAAAGCATTAAAAAGTTTAGCTGGGGCAGAATGAATGGCAAAGCTGTTAGCAAGTTCTGGGCATTCATGAAGGAGATAGATAGCAGCACCCTGCAAGGAAAATGCAAAGAAAGATTGGTTTAATAGGAAGTGGTTAATACAGACAGTGAATTGTACACACAGCCGTCAGCCAAGGTAATGGGAGACATAATGACAGCTTGAAATTTGGGAGCATACGAGTGTCTTTGGAATCCATGCACTGAATAATTTACAGGATTTTTCTGAAAGAGTACAATGTTTTGAGCCAGAAATGTCCCCATTATTTTTGTTGGTAAAAGACTATATCCTTTTAATCTCAAAACCACAAAGAGAAACGGCTGATCCAATTGTGGACAAATACAAAACTTGACTCTCTGCCTTCTCACATACCATGTAGTTATTTCCAGTTGTGTAATCTGGAGAATAAAGTGCTAAAATTCTGACTTGGTAATTGCCAGAACTCTCATAAAAATCCATACCTTGCAAAATCTGATTATTGGGTAAAGGGAAAAATTTGAAAGTGTATGTTGAGAAACTGAATACAGAGAACTGGGCATGAAGTACAGTTAAGGGGGGAAGCTAGAGAAACTGAAAATGACAAGGAAGTATTTGAGGCAAAAGGATACATGGGAATACACAGTAGAAATAAAGGATTTCTGATGGGGAACTATTGTTTTCCCAGGGCCAAGGAACTGAGGGACTTAACTGCAATGACCTGTACATGAGGTAAGCTGCCGAGCAACTCGGGTCTCTTCAAACCATTTGTCGTGGTGCCAAGTTCTGCAATTTGTGCAAAGATGCTGTTTAGTTCAGACAGTCTAATTTCAGAAGAATTGGTGTCAAACGGGGAGCATCCCGTAGAAATAAGCTCTGGCAGGGTTTATTTGACCTTGTGGACAGAGGGCTGCAGTCTGACCCACACTTTTTGACAGCGACATTGTTTCATAACAAGAATAGTGAAGGGGGATGCAGCAGGGACTAACTGGCCTTACTGGCCCTGACCCACCTCACCTGGAGCCTCTGCCCACACCCCTGACCATGGGCCCAGGGGCTCCATTTAAGCTCAGCCCTGGGCCACCAGTCCCTGCCTGAGCTTTATCAGAGCTGTGTTTGTCCCCTGGCTCCTGTTGCTCTATCTGTGATCTGGCTTCTTGGTTTGGCTTTGCATGGACCTGCCTGGTAGCCATCGTGTCTGGCCCCAGTTCCCATCATGGGACCTGACCTGTGGATTGCATTCCTGGCTTGACCTCAGGTCTGCCTCACCACCGTGAACTTTTCTGGCAGTCTGGACTCCTGGTTGGTCCTGATGCCATCACCAGGCCTGCCTTTCTTGAGGGACTTGATGGGACTCTGAGCAACCAGATCTAGCTGACATCCCTGCTCATTGCAAAGTGTGGCTTTCTCTCACAAGTGATGTGTTTAATGGATGGTGACCAGAGGAAAAGCCATGGTTGAGTGCTGGGGCTGGCCAGACCTTGGAGCCGGGGCTCGGCAGTCTGTGGGGTGGCACCTGAGGTCCCTGCTAATGAACACGCCGTGGGGCTGCGTTCAGGTGGGTGCCATCTGTGTTTTCCATTCCCTGACAAGGTCTGTCTTTATCCTTCTATTTGGATAATCCTTTGAAGGACTAAGACATGGGTGATGTTACATATAGGTCCTTTGTAACCATGTATTTACTTAAATGCTACTGTTTAAGCGTGTCTTTTCTGTGTTTTCAATAGTAAAGGAGTTCCTCAGACCCTAAATGGGGTACTTGGGAACATAAAGCAGACCAGATGTGTCTTCTTCCATCCCAGGTGCAATGTACTGGTGCCCCTCACGCTCCCCGCAGAGGGGCTTGATCGGATTTCGGGAATTAGCGCTGCCTCTCGTCCCTGCAGCCCGGGTTCTGGGGCTGGAGAGAAACCCTTTGCAAAGCACCTTTGTAGGTGAACCGAGGCGGGACCGAGACAGCGGGTACCGCGCTCCCCACCGCGCACCGTGTGTTCGCCCGGCGGTGGGCGGGCTCCGCGCCGGTACGGGACGAACGAGGGCGGCGCCGCCGTGCCCGGAGGGGTCCCTCCGCCGCGGGGGGCGGGCCGGGGCGGGGCCGAGGGGCGGAGCGGGCCGGGGCAAGATGGCGGCGGCCGCTGAGGCGGCGGCGCGGCTGCGGCGGCAGGAGCAGGAGCTGCGCTGGCTGACGGCGGAGGTGGGGCGGCTGAAGGAGCCGGGATGCCCCGGGAGCTGCGGCCCCGAGCTGGAGCGGCTGCGGGCCGAGAACGAGAAGCTCCGCTACCGCCTGCTGCACCTGCGCCGCAGCCTGGAGGCCGAGCTGGGCAGGGCGGAGCCGCGGCCGCCGGGCCCCGCGGCGGAGGAGGAGGTAGGGCCCGGAGCCGGGGGGCTCCGCCGCCGTCCTCATGGCTGTGGGGCGGGCTGGCTCTCTCTGCTACAGGCACCGGGACGGGCGGCGGGCCCCGGCGGGGCTGTCGGGTCTGTCAACATAAATTCCCTGTATAGAAAAGCTATGAGTACTTCCTGCCTCCTCCTCCTCCTATTTCTTAGTTTGTTTTTTCTACTTCCATTACTTCCAAGTGATAATGCATCCATGGCCTCACTCGTGTGTTCCTAGCTGCAGTTTTCCCTATTGTGCAGTACACAAAAATACTTTGCCACGCTTTTAGGAAAGCAACTTTTAGAGTTATTTCTGGTCCTTATGGTCTTGAGATGTAACCACTGTATCCTCCTGTCAGGCTGCGTCTGTTTCTGAAATTTCAAGTATTCATCAGTCAGCATCAAAGTTGACCACTGGCCCCATAATTTTATTTTGTATATCAGTAGCCAAACAATTAACTAGCCAGGCTTCAAGGAACTGTTTGGAAGCATTGCCTGTCACCTTGTGGTTGGTTGTAGATACAACAAGCCTCATTATGTGACGCATTATCTGGAGTAAGGATGAGTGGAATTATGTGTTATTTTAAGCCATATTAATGGTCCCAGTTTAGAATGTTATAGCTTATTGACCGTAGCAGTGAGATTCTTGTGCTTCTTCTGTAACCATCCTGAATCTGCTCAGGTGGAGGTACCTGTGCATTGCATCACACCCCACAGGAAAGGTGACCCACTCGGGAGAAGCTGGGTGGTGAAGGGCACCTCCTGCTCAGTAAATGCTGGAGCAAGCCCAAAGTTACAGGTTTTTGGATTCATAAGACAGTGCCCAAAGATGAGATACAGAGGATGTAACCTGAATATATTTCTCAGAGTTTAACCTCAAGACTAAATCGGTGTTTATTTTATTGTACTGGTAACAGTGATTGTCATCAGTACCCTAAATGGAGTAGTGAATTCTGTACAGTAGTGAATTTAGAAGTTAACAAAGCAGGTAACCTGTCAAGATTAATAATTAAATTAATTTTAAAGGAAGCTATAGATTATGTCATATTTTTACACATGCACATGGAAGTTCTGCCTATGACAGTCCACCCTTGTAGAGTGACCTTACTATCAATAAACGATAGGCATAGATGTTGGCAAGTTGCATCTCTTCAGAAAAGTAAGGAAGAATTGGTGCAAATAAAAAATATACATAGGTATATACATATATTTAAGGTATATCAATATACCTTAAATAAGAAAACTAGTTTAAAAAAAAAAGCATTAAAAAGTTTAGCTGGGGCAGAATGAATGGCAAAGCTGTTAGCAAGTTCTGGGCATTCATGAAGGAGATAGATAGCAGCACCCTGCAAGGAAAATGCAAAGAAAGATTGGTTTAATAGGAAGTGGTTAATACAGACAGTGAATTGTACACACAGCCGTCAGCCAAGGTAATGGGAGACATAATGACAGCTTGAAATTTGGGAGCATACGAGTGTCTTTGGAATCCATGCACTGAATAATTTACAGGATTTTTCTGAAAGAGTACAATGTTTTGAGCCAGAAATGTCCCCATTATTTTTGTTGGTAAAAGACTATATCCTTTTAATCTCAAAACCACAAAGAGAAACGGCTGATCCAATTGTGGACAAATACAAAACTTGACTCTCTGCCTTCTCACATACCATGTAGTTATTTCCAGTTGTGTAATCTGGAGAATAAAGTGCTAAAATTCTGACTTGGTAATTGCCAGAACTCTCATAAAAATCCATACCTTGCAAAATCTGATTATTGGGTAAAGGGAAAAATTTGAAAGTGTATGTTGAGAAACTGAATACAGAGAACTGGGCATGAAGTACAGTTAAGGGGGGAAGCTAGAGAAACTGAAAATGACAAGGAAGTATTTGAGGCAAAAGGATACATGGGAATACACAGTAGAAATAAAGGATTTCTGATGGAGAACTATTGTTTTCCCAGGGCCAAGGAACTGAGGGACTTAACTGCAATGACCTGTACATGAGGTAAGCTGCCGAGCAACTCGGGTCTCTTCAAACCATTTGTCGTGGTGCCAAGTTCTGCAATTTGTGCAAAGATGCTGTTTAGTTCAGACAGTCTAATTTCAGAAGAATTGGTGTCAAACGGGGAGCATCCCGTAGAAATAAGCTCTGGCAGGGTTTATTTGACCTTGTGGACAGAGGGCTGCAGTCTGACCCACACTTTTTGACAGCGACATTGTTTCATAACAAGAATAGTGAAGGGGGATGCAGCAGGGACTAACTGGCCTTACTGGCCCTGACCCACCTCACCTGGAGCCTCTGCCCACACCCCTGACCATGGGCCCAGGGGCTCCATTTAAGCTCAGCCCTGGGCCACCAGTCCCTGCCTGAGCTTTATCAGAGCTGTGTTTGTCCCCTGGCTCCTGTTGCTCTATCTGTGATCTGGCTTCTTGGTTTGGCTTTGCATGGACCTGCCTGGTAGCCATCGTGTCTGGCCCCAGTTCCCATCATGGGACCTGACCTGTGGATTGCATTCCTGGCTTGACCTCAGGTCTGCCTCACCACCGTGAACTTTTCTGGCAGTCTGGACTCCTGGTTGGTCCTGATGCCATCACCAGGCCTGCCTTTCTTGAGGGACTTGATGGGACTCTGAGCAACCAGATCTAGCTGACATCCCTGCTCATTGCAAAGTGTGGCTTTCTCTCACAAGTGATGTGTTTAATGGATGGTGACCAGAGGAAAAGCCATGGTTGAGTGCTGGGGCTGGCCAGACCTTGGAGCCGGGGCTCGGCAGTCTGTGGGGTGGCACCTGAGGTCCCTGCTAATGAACACGCCGTGGGGCTGCGTTCAGGTGGGTGCCATCTGTGTTTTCCATTCCCTGACAAGGTCTGTCTTTATCCTTCTATTTGGATAATCCTTTGAAGGACTAAGACATGGGTGATGTTACATATAGGTCCTTTGTAACCATGTATTTACTTAAATGCTACTGTTTAAGCGTGTCTTTTCTGTGTTTTCAATAGTAAAGGAGTTCCTCAGACCCTAAATGGGGTACTTGGGAACATAAAGCAGACCAGATGTGTCTTCTTCCATCCCAGGTGCAATGTACTGGTGCCCCTCACGCTCCCCGCAGAGGGGCTTGATCGGATTTCGGGAATTAGCGCTGCCTCTCGTCCCTGCAGCCCGGGTTCTGGGGCTGGAGAGAAACCCTTTGCAAAGCACCTTTGTAGGTGAACCGAGGCGGGACCGAGACAGCGGGTACCGCGCTCCCCACCGCGCACCGTGTGTTCGCCCGGCGGTGGGCGGGCTCCGCGCCGGTACGGGACGAACGAGGGCGGCGCCGCCGTGCCCGGAGGGGTCCCTCCGCCGCGGGGGGCGGGCCGGGGCGGGGCCGAGGGGCGGAGCGGGCCGGGGCAAGATGGCGGCGGCCGCTGAGGCGGCGGCGCGGCTGCGGCGGCAGGAGCAGGAGCTGCGCTGGCTGACGGCGGAGGTGGGGCGGCTGAAGGAGCCGGGATGCCCCGGGAGCTGCGGCCCCGAGCTGGAGCGGCTGCGGGCCGAGAACGAGAAGCTCCGCTACCGCCTGCTGCACCTGCGCCGCAGCCTGGAGGCCGAGCTGGGCAGGGCGGAGCCGCGGCCGCCGGGCCCCGCGGCGGAGGAGGAGGTAGGGCCCGGAGCCGGGGGGCTCCGCCGCCGTCCTCATGGCTGTGGGGCGGGCTGGCTCTCTCTGCTACAGGCACCGGGACGGGCGGCGGGCCCCGGCGGGGCTGTCGGCGGTGAGAGCCGGTCGCGGTCTCTTCGTGCGGCCCGAGCACCGGGCGGTGCCGCTGCCGGTAGCCCCGAGGGCGGGATAAGCCTGTCAGACCACCGAAAGCTGTTGCTATTGCTCGCTGGGCCGCTTCAGCGCCCTAGGGTCTGGCAACCACAGCGGTTGCGGTAGGAAAACTGGGGGAGCTGCTTTGGGCAGGTTTTGCCTGGTGAGCAGTTGGTCTGCTCGCCGTCAGGAGCAGGCAGCTGGGATGTGACACGAGGAGTCTTTAGCCTGCACTAGGGACGTGCCTTACTCGGGTGTAAATGCCTTTTTAGTCCCGTGTTGCGCTGGTCTGGTTTGTTTCAGTGATTGCTGGGAATAGCTTTAAAGGCATAGACATGTAACTTCATATTATCACTGTTTTCAGAAAGCCTGCAGTGCAAGTCCAGCTGTTGTGGTGGATCAAAATAAAGAGGAAAAGAAAAAAGAAAATGAAGCTGTGCACCAACATCAGAATGATGTAAGTGGTTATTTTATACCATAG